ATTGACACTGCTAAATCTATAGAGAATGCTAATCAATTCTTTTAGCATACCCTGAATTGTGGTTAAAAATATTAAGTTTGCATTTCCCCCATTACCCCATCCCCATTGAATATTTGAAAATAAAATTATTTCTATTCAGAAGCCATATATTCATTTAAATTTGTTATTAGACAGTTGTAATCAAAAGATTAACTTAAATAAAAATTAATCTTTTAAAGTCTTTAAATTATTTAAATGTAAACGCTTTTAAAATGTAAGCTCCCCTCTCGGTTGGAAAATTAAGCTTTGGTTGACTCTCTTCCCTCCCCAAATTGCGTACGTAATATGCGAACGGCCCCTTAACCACAATTCCGGGTATGCTAAAAGAATTGATTAGCATTCTCTATAGATTTAGCAGTGTCAATGTCAATCTCAATCTAATTGACTCAAACTGGAATACTTAATTGTAACTATTTTTCATAAAATTAACATTAGAGGATTCCATAGGATAAGATTAAAAATAGTTTAGATGAGTTAATCATATGTCATAGACTTAATATTATGTTAACATATAACAATAAACTTAAGCTGGAATCACATGTTAAAATCCATAGAGGGGGTGGGAGTGGATGATCTAAAGTGATGGCCGAACGGATCTATAAAGGAATTTATTCATCTAGAATTGTTGCTACACATTTAATAATATAACAATGTAAATTATATGTTTATGTTACATATAGATCTATGCTAATCTGACATAATTATAATATTTAATTAATATAGAATTAAATCAATCATAAACTAAATGTTTCACTCTTAGATATACAGGTGACACTGTTTAAAATTTATATTTTTAATCCATACAAACGGACATTTTGAATTGATATAATTATAAACATACCATAGTACTTCGCCCAAGTTAATTCTAGCTTGGTTGGAAGCATCGGTTAGATAACCAAGAACACGATCGCGTAGTTTTTTCGATTCGACCAATTTAGAATTGAGTATAGCGCAATATTTCAACATGGTGTCATTTTGCAATTTGCAATAGTTATTAACTTTCTCGTAGTGCGAAATAGTAGGGCTCTCCATAATCACGTCACGAATTATGGGTTTTAGGTAACCCACATATTTAATGCCGTGCAATACATCCCAAAACCTGGGTGTTTTAAAAAATTGTCAATTAGTGAATTGTTATAATTAAAGCATAGAAATATATGCATTTATAAGCAGTCAAATATGTCATATAAAATGCACTAAAAAATGGTCAAATATTCACTTATAAATTTTCAAATATGTGATATAAGTATTATTTGATATGTTTTATGAACAATATGGCCAAATATTATGATGAAAATGGTCGTTAGCCTTTCAAAACGTATTTAAATATAATTAATTAATGACAAAATATAAAATAAAAAAATATTATTCTTTTTTACATTTTATAATCATTCCTGTCACTACAATAGGTAATACTTTATCACTACTAAATAATGTTAATCAAATAGATATTTGTTTTTTAAATTATATTTTGTCATAAACTATAATTGATTTTCATTTATTGTTAATTTTATAACAGTTTAGACATATTTAGTTATAATTTGTGTAAATTAGTGCTTTTATATGCTTTTGAACCAAATATGCAGTTATATGCAAAATAAAAATTCGTTAAAACACCCCTTATGTCATTCGTTTGCCCTCTAAGTTCCAAACATTTATAACTAACCGGTAAAAACATGCATTTGCATGATATGATATGCTTTAGTTATAATAATTAAATGATTTAATTTTAACTAAATCCTTTTATCGTTGAGTTAATAAAATATCTTATATAATAACCTGTTGAGATATTATACTCTCATCACACTCTTATGGACCACAAGTTACTTGTCGATCAATATTATGTTTTAGAATTAATTTTTATATTTTACTAATTTTCTACCTTAATTTATCTTTAGTTGTAAAGCTTATATGAACCGCATAACTGTATATAAACTTAACATTTTTACTACGTTTAAAAAATTGTCATATTTTTTATAATGGGTTTCAATGGGGCCAATGGGATGCTGTTCGGTAAACGTGTGGCCAGTCTTTGATTGCAAAGTAAAAACACAAATTACTATCTAAAATAATTACAGGACATCTAATGATTATATTAAACACCACTACAATGTATTGTCACCCACGAAGCGATGGCTACCCCGAAGAGCCAATCACTCCATAAACTTCTATTGATTTCAATGGCATTTTTTGGCCCATAGGTTATGATTATTATGCGTAAATTATAAGCACCCAAAAAATATAATTTTTTAAATTGTGGCCACAATTATAAATATTTTGTGCTCAAATTTTAATATAATATGTGATTTATATATCTAAAATATATAATAATAATTTTTTAATAACTATTATACTTTTGAATTTATTCAAAATTTACTAACTACACGTGACCTATAAGCGGTACCTTATGTACAATTATTAAATTCAAAATTTATTAACGTAATTTATAATCTATTACATAATAATTTAATAGTGTATGTTAATGTAATTTATTTAAATATGGTCACTCACAATTTGCCATTCGTATCATTAGTAGAGCCCAATTCTTTGCATTTATTCATAATTAGCTCCACTTTTTCCGGACATTCGACGCCATTGCCTAACCTCTCATACTTTGGGACCATTATATCGACACTTAACTCCTCCTCTTCGTAACTGCAGTTTATTACACCTAAAAGTAGATTAATTATAATACATATTAATTATTATACAAACAATAGTCACTCATACTTTTATTTCAATTAAATATAATCTCTCTCTCTCTCTCTCTCTCTCCCTCTCTCTCTCTCTCACTTATGCCTTCATTTTTCTTTATTTATGCACATAAATTAATTAAATAAGTAAAATGAATTAAAATATTGTTAATTATGAAATTACAATATAAATACTAATAAATCAATATACATACCAATTACTGTTAACAGAATAAACCACTTCATTATTAGTGATTTAATTGTTATTTTTAACAAAATAACTTATTTAATTCAAAATGGTTGAGATCTAAGAGCGTTACCTTAGGACTGAAAAACTATGTTATGTTTGATACCGTATGTTAGAATTATACAGTGCAACTTCTCTATAATGAACGGCCAGTTGCACAACAAAAGTGTTTATTATAGGGAGGGTTCATCCAGCGGGAGGTTCTGTTATAGGTATAGAAAATCCAAAATATATTTCAAAACCGTTCATTCAAAGTAGGTGTTCATCCAAGAGAAGTTTACCCACGAGAAGTTGCACTGTATTAATTAATTAAAATTAAAACTAACTTAATTAAATTTTTACAAAAAAATATCCAACAAATACTTTGCATATTAGCACTGGTTTGACATCAATTGGCCATAACGTGCTTTTTATTATGTAATCTTGTTTGACATCTAAAACCAAAGTCCTTTTGAGTAATTGCAAAGGACTATACTTTGTCCTTTTTAGTTTTATTAATTTAAAAATACTAATTAAAATAAAGTTAATAATTATAGCAATTTTGAAAATCGCATTGATTGTTTTATTCTCACAATAAGCTCTCTCTCTCTCTCTCTCTCTCTCTCTCTCTC